GGTGCTAATCCCAACCCTGACTAAGCTGTATCACCATAAATGCATCTTTACACATAGGTGCCCTTTTTATTTGTTTCACTCTCGCTCCCTCAGGCAGCCTGAGTCCGCCACTGGATGATCATCACAATTATAAACTACAGTCAGTTGTCATTATTAGCATAAACTACACAGCTGTTTGCTCTTTTGGTGAGTTGTAGAAAAGAATAAAGCATTAGTAACCAGACAGAGTAGAGGCAGAACAGTCAATAGATTTCAAAATGTCACGGGTGTGATTGCTCACAGCTAACCCACTTTGACTCCACATCGCATGACTGTAGTGTTAACTCTATTTCTGTATTCTCTACAAATTGTTTTCACCCGCTAGCTTCCTCTATTTCCTTTGTTAAGAGACGTGCAAAGAGGCAAAACATGCACTACTAAATTAAGGCATATAGATGTTCTGCAGGCCGCCTGCCAAAGCTTGAACTTAAGTACAAAGGAAGAATCTAGAAAATGTGACACTCTTGTTGTAAAATGTGTAAATAGTGAAGGTCAAGGCCTAGCATACTTTGACATCTCTTAAAATATAAGGATGTAGCTTGGAGCAACAGGGAAAGTCCACTTACTTTTACTCTGATTCTAAACACCTGACTCGTGTGTTGAATTCAGAATTTAAAATTGCATGCTTGAGTATAGTAAGTAAGATAGTAATATAATAAAGGATTGGGTCAATTGTGAAGAACGCTCTTTGGTTCTTGCAAATATTGTTTTCGTGTTTTTCAGGTTGTGTCATGTACAGCGGTGTTGAAATGTATTCTGGTTTGGACTACACAGCAGCCGCTGCACATCCAATTCTGCAGAGACTTGCTCAGTGACGAGAAAGAATGTGAGCCAGTTGACTCTGACATTGGGGCCACATTATTCTCCTGCAGTCACTGTGTACCCTTTAATTAGGATTGTCTGACCTATGACCTTTGGAAAAGACTTCAACCCAGAAGGCTCTGCAGATCAAGGAACCGAAGCAGGAAGAGGACAAATCCTTTGGTTTTGATAAAGAGGCATCACGCAGGAATGAAGCTTAACATAAAGTATGCATACAGACAAAAGAAAAGTATTGATCTGGTGTAGATGTGTAATGATATCATGCAGAAAAGGTCGGCATTGGTTTCAGTTAAAAGACAATCACGTTCACCTCATTTGTCCTTCTCTGTTCAAACCCAGCAAAATTGTTTGGAAAACAATCAGCTCATCTCCTTGCTCCATTTTGTTTCTAATTTGTTGACAGGACATTAAAGGGAATGGCATCACTAAAAGTCAGAGGCCAAACACCACTGACACTTTATTTTGTCCTGTAACGGTCACTGGTATGCCTTGAATGACAAGTAAACATTTTTCATTTAAACTTTGGAGCTGTTCAACTTGACCTTTGCCACAGGATGTGCAAGTTGCACTACCAACGGCTCTGTTACCCTAAATCCTACACACTGGACCTTTAATTATTAATAAGCAACAATAAACATTAAATAATCCAAGAAGTATGACCAACTAACAACTGTAACCTTTGTCCACTGCCAGTCTTTATGCTTAGTTAAGCTAACTGGCTGCTGGCTTTCGCTTCACATTCCCGTACAGACACCAGTGATCCAGCCCATGTATATCATCTTACAAAGCTTTGTAGGTTGACTCTGATAAACCAAACACACACCAGCAGGCATTGATAAAAAGACCAATGTGTCTTTTTATGAATGCCTGCTGGTGTGTGTTTAACTAAGATGAGGGTGTATCACTGTATATCCCAAAACACTGACAAGAATGAACGTGCTGATGCTTTTATTTCATGCTATATGAAACTTGTGATTATCAAATTATTGAACATTGCTTTTGGATAGAACATCTTAGATCTTTTCCACCTTTAAAAGAATAGAGGTCGTCATTAGCCTCTATTTAAACAAGAATATTACTTAATATGCTAATAATATATCCTAATACTAAATAACACTGACTATTGTTGAGTCATTTTAATCCAGCCTTGACATTATGCCATCAAGGTGCTATCAAAGAGCCTCTCTTCACTTTAAACTGCAACTACATGTCTTACATATCATCACTGTTAGATGTACTACCTTGTTGATAATTTTTTTTAAATTTATTTTCACACAAGCACTGTGCATTTGGGGTTTTGAAAAAGTAATAATGAAGCATACTGTAAAATCCTGTTTCTCTCAAACTTAAAAAAAACCAAAATCAGATGAAAAAAATGATGACTGCTGTCAACCTCAAAATTGCATGTACAGCATAAACCTGAGGGGCAGCCCTTTAATGGTGTGTCTAATAGCTATCTTCACCACTTTGAGACTGCAAGTTTTAAATTTTTTGACCAAAACTTGATGGTTTGTGGTAGGAAGTCAAGAGAGGGAAGGGGCAGAACCAACCTCCACCAGCTGTTCTCTGCTCGCAATGTGAAGGGAGTGTCAGTCTGCGTTTTCCGACAGTCCCTCCCTCCTGTAAAGCTGCCCAGGTGTAATGGCCGACCTGCCGATCTGAACCACATCAAACCTCGCAAACAGGAAGCTTCTCTTCACTGTCATTACTGAGATAAAGATCCTGCGTTCATTGTGCATTGTCATCCTGCCAACCATAAATCTGTGTTTACACTTGCCATGTTGCCCAAGGAAATTATGACTTTTGCTTCGACTTGGAAGCAGGGAAAGGAGACAGATATCTACAAAGTAAAATGAGTCATGAGTATTTCAAACTCTTAAGTATTTGTTTCATCAGTATAAAGACAAAGAATCCATTTCAGTTCCTTACCCCTCCTCGCCTCTATGACCTGTCTCTGAACCAGCAGCCCTTTCCGAAAAGAGCGTCTGCAAATAAAATAAGCTGCTTCTCGCTATCTACTAGCCTCGTTTGTCTCACACAGTTAAATCTCAGTCTGTAACTCTCTTTCACTCGCTGTGAAATATTCATCCCAGGCGGTGCAGACAGTTTCCTCAAACATTAGCCATCAAACATGAAAGCAGAGCTCTGACTGGAAAATTACACAGTAATGTCCCAGGTCTAATTATGCTGGTTTAGTTTATGACCCGTCAGTTCATGTCCATTATCCACAACTGCAGAATGGTGAGCAGCCTTTCAACTTCTTCTCATCACTTCCCAAACCAGGTGGGAAAGAGTGAAGAGTTCACTTTTTCCTTTTCTCTTTATTTTTCAAATTACGAGCTACACAGGGAGAACTGTCTCTGGGGACTTGATTCAGTTGCCTATGAATTAAGTTTAATTATCACTTCCGGACTAACCTGATGGGCGAAATGCTTTGTCACAGACGCATAGATCGAAGGCAAGATGGATTCTCACGTGATTTTGTGATCTTGCAAAGGCTTCAGTGGAACTTTGAATAAAACTATCTTTAAATCTTTATCTGAGTAAATTCCCCTCTGTGAAAATGTACAATTAATCATCTATAAATGTGTCATTTCATGGAAACATTTGCCATCTTTGAATCTTAGAATACAGTATTCACACATGATCCAAATAACTTCCAGTTTTATATAAGGAACAAGGAACTGAAACCATATCGATAGCATGTTTGACAGCTTGTGAGCAGGTTTTGCAAAGCTATTATGTTACATGCTGTCAGGTAGCCTAAATGTATACAAAGGTAAACAAGTTATTGCTTTCCATATATGTATTTTGAATTCATACAAACTATCTCATTGTATTTCATAGATATTTTGGAACAATATTTCCAAAACAACAAAGGACTTTCTGCACACCCAAAAACTTCAGTTCAACTTAAAACATCTTGGTATTTATTCACATATTTTCTGCAAGTAGAAGAGTCTTGTCAGTGTAAGTAAATCTTACACCATCAGAAAGAAATCCTTCTAGATACCATTCATCTAACAAAATGTGCTCAAGGAAACGACTGCAAGAGGAGCTTGAGGTAATCCCCTAGAAATGAGTACATTATCTCACTAGCACAGTGGTACCGGACCGATCAGTGCTTGAGGAAGTACTGGCAGCTACAGGGTGGGTGGACACAGTGAGTGAGTTGGAGAAAGTTAGCTGCCTCTCCTGGTACTGTGCATACTGGCTCACTGTCACACTGCCATGGCTTATGAGACTCTTCCATAGAACAGATTGTTAATGTCATTAGTAACACCTGTGCTTTTCCTACCGATGAATAATGAGTCAAAATGTTGTATAAAAATTTGTATTTGGACACATCTTCCAGCGACATGTTTGCAGCTGAAGATCACATCACAGATACAACTATGTGAACAAGTGTTTAGAGATAGAGTGCCTTTGCTGCAGTGGAGATGCTTGAGATTTCTGAAGCTGATGTTTTTGTGAGAGAGGAGATGATCCGTGACAACTAACACGGAGCATCTGAACAGTTAGCTTCTCAGATGTGAGCTTATCATCAGCTGTTAAGAGCAGTGTGAATTCCTTGGGCCTCAGGCTTCAGTCCAGGTGTGGGCCTTACATCCTCAAGCACATGATGATTAGACTGAGAGGGCCCATGTTAGTACTCGTGCAAGAAGAATCTCATCCATAAGAGCCAGATAGATAGAGCAGGAGGAACCAAAAGGAAACAGGGATCAAAGCCAAATGTGGTTTATGGTTAGCAGAAATAGAGGGGTTTTTTTGTATAAAAGAGTTGGTTTTGCATTAATTAAGTAAAGGAACAACTTCTTTTTCATAATTGTTTAAAGCATATAGACCTATAGATGATGGAGATTTATTTTTGACCCTGGAAATTTTAATTTAAATAATAAGTTGACTAAAAATCAGGTCCACTTGCCAGCTTTTTCTCTGGTCTTCATCAGTGGATTGAGTTTGCTCAGTTGTCATGTGATAATGCTGATGTAAAAAGCTAATAAATGGATTTATTATTTTGCAGACAGACATATAGTTAGGCTACTTAACACATATAAACAGTTTGAATAAGTGATATACTGTATGTTGTGATACTGACTTTTTCAACTGGCAGAGAGACTCAGTTCTGGATGCAGCTTCCAGTGTGTATTTTAAAACTACTGGATGTCAAACTGTCAGTATGATTTACAATTTTGGGGACAAGCACACTTTATAATTTTAGACTTAATGGTTATGACTCCTGTATTTTTAAAATACAGCACTCCCAGTGGTCGTACACAGCATGTTGACCTGCATTTCAGGATGGGGGTTTTCCCCTCTCTAACACCTGAGCTGGTTGAGCAGTGAAGCAGCTGCAGCAGAGCGTCTGTCCACTGTGGTCTTACCAAGTTCCTGAAGAACAGCACAGGAGCAGAGAGGCAATGTACCTCACACCGGACAATCGAGAGGAACGTCCCAGAAGAGTTTTGAATCTGATTAAAAGAAAAGAAGCAAGGGATTAACAGCTGATGGCTTGGAGGTCACAATGTTAAACTCAAAAAGCTTGTAATGTGACCTTATTGCTTTCTTATACTGTAAATTAGACAGAAGAGGCAATTAGTCATTAGAATAACAAGAAAAACACTGATGCAATTACCTCTAAATTTAATGCTATAGGCATTTATATTAACTAGAGCTAGACTGATAAAATCGGCTCGTATTAGCTTACAGCAGATGTATCATTATCGGTGTATGAGAGCAGAGATGTGAGATACAAATACAGTCCTTTCTTTGCAAAAAATGCATTATAAGCTTCATCTGAAGCTAATATGAGACAGCCAGATAAAGTGTCTTCCAGGATTACAGTCTTCTTGGTATGAAATTGCCTCTTTGTGTAACTATCCCTCCACTGCAACTCAGCAAGAAAACGACGTCTGGTGAAGAACAAGGGGGGAGTTTTGTACTAAAAAGACCAACTTTGAATTGAAATTGAAAGGATAAAGCGTCCAGTCACTCGAATATGGACTTTTCAGCAATATATTAAGATAGACTTGGTAAAAACTTACAAATCTTTTAATGTTGAAAGAAAATGAATTTCTGAGTCCAGTAGGTATATTAATATACCTTGAGAATAAGTGAACGACTGAGTAGTTGCAAGTTCTCTTTTCTTGTCTCCATTTAGCGGAAATTCTTTCGAAATGACATGTTGCAGTAAGTTGTAACTGAGATATGAAGATAGCAAAGGAACTGTCACTCTGTCACTATTCTGCCAACATATCCACCATGCAAGTCTACAGTAAATTCAACAAACTATACAGTAGTAGCATCCTAAAAGGAGGGAGACCATTAGATGAGTTTATGCTGTAAAATCTGCGTGACTGTGAAAGGTCTGTGAATCAAAACAACCATTTGTAGGGGAAACACTTTAAATGCCAACCTCTCCTCTGACTGAAGTCAGCATTGTTGCTGTTGTTCTCATTTGTCTCCTTCAGCGATTCCACAGAGGTCTTGTTGGAGACGTCGCCTTCATCATCGGTTTTCTCCTCCACACTCGGCTCCACGGGTGCAGGAGGACTCGGCTCCACAGGTGCAGGAGGACTCGGCTCAACGACGTCTTCTTTAGGTTTGTCCTCAGAGCTGTCTGGGGACGGTGCCGGAGCTGCAGACTCAGCGCTGGGTTCAACAACAGATTTATCTGCTTCAGCTGTGAAAGACAACAACAACAAACCACACTGCTCTTTCAGTGGTTTTCAAGAACATTAACACTGTTTTTCTACCCCGAATCCAGTTATAGCATGACACATGTAAGAGAAAACACAATATGTGGATAAATTGATACAACACACAGGTTGAGTCATTGGAAAATACTGGAAAAACCCAACACTTATGTCATGCCCTTTGAATAGGAAGTTGAACCATTGCAATATATTCATTGTGTAATGTTTTTGACATGTTTCTCCATCATTTAAACCCCATCATTTAAACTTATATGACATTGCAGATTTGATATTTGGTTGACTGCGTTCTGTATTTAGCACCCACATAATAACAGTATTTTCACTCATATAGCCTGGAGGGGTTTTGCCATGTCTGACAGTCAGGGGGGGGG